CTTTTTTAGAAAATTCCAAACCAGTATAGGTTAGTGTTGCGACAGACCCAGTTGAATCGGCAACTCCCCCTAGCTAGCCAAATTCGCCTGTTTTGCAGCACACCCAATTATATTTGCGCAACAGTATACCCAAGAAAATTCTTAACTAGTTATTGTTAGCCATGTCTCAAGACGGATTTCAACCTACACTAATAAGGACAACGCACAATAACAACACGAGGTCTGTCATGCTACCAGCTAGCTAGCTACGTCGTTTGGTTTCCATCCATTTGATGCTCTTTACTTGGCTAGCTAGTCAGCTAGCTTTAGTTTTGCATTATTGTCAAGTTAAACGTTATTAGTCGTATCCTAAACATGTTATACACCGTCCAAGGAAATGCTTACTTGCAGGTTCCTTCTCGACAATGCAACAACAATAAGAAAATAACTATAGAATACGAAAGTAAATGGCGCAGTAGAATAGAATACACATTTTACCCCATATACGGGGGGTTATAGGACAGTATTTAGACATGTATCAGAGAAAGGGGGGATTGGGGGCAAGTGTTTAAATTGTGCAGTATTAGCAGTTGTAAGTAAAGAGTCTGATAGCAGCAGTTGCGATGTGTGTGTAGCATGAATGCCTATATGTGAGTGAGTGCATGTGTGCTAATGTGCGGAGAGTAAGTGCAGGTGTCAGTCCAGTTCAAGTGTAGAGCAGTTCTGATGGCTTGTAGATATAAAGGGTCTCTGAGCCTGTTCTTATCAGACCTCATGCTCCGATACCGTCTACCTGACGTTAAGGGAGAGAACAGCTCGTGTGTGTGGGGTCCTTAATGGTGAAGCGGGACTTACTCAGGCACCGTTTCTGGTAGATGTCCTGGATGGGGTGGGAACACGGCTCCAGTGATGTACTGGGCCGTGTTCACCCGCCGCTGGAGGGCCTTGCCGTCGTAGTGCAAACCGGTCAGGACGCTCTCGATGATGCTGCAGTAGTATTTGGAGAGGACCCGGGGTGACATGCAGAATTTCTTCAGACACTGAGGAACTTAAAACTGCTGAGTTTCCACTGCAGTCCCGTTGATGTGTATCTGGGCGTGTCCCCTCTGCCTCCTGAAGTCCACAATCAACTACATTGCTTTGCTGATGTTGAGGGAGAGGTTGTTGTCCTGGCACCACAATGCCAATTCACTTACCGCCTCCCTATAGGCTGACTCGTCGTAGGCCTGACAACAACCGTGGTGGTGTCGTCAGCAAACATTGTGTTAAGCACTAGTGTGGAGGAGGTGGTGTTGTCAATTCTCCCATCCTGTGGTCTGCCCGTCAGGAAGTCCAGGATCCAGTTGCAGAGGGTAGTGCCAAGACCCAGGGCTCTGATCCTGGTGACGAGCTTGGAGGGAACAATAGTGTTCAATACTGAACTGTAGTCAATGAACAGCATTCTCACATAGGTGTACCTCTTGTCCAGGGCCCTGTTTCCCAAAAGCATCTTAAGGTTAAGTTCTTCGTTAGAACCTTCATATGAGCATCGTTAAATCTGAGTTTTTTCCCAAAACCATCGTTATTAACGTTGTACTTGAAAAGGCTCGTAATCTAACGCCTGTCTCAGACCACTTGTAGAACAGCTAAGTGCGTCGTTTGATGTTTTTTTTTGCCCTCCTACGTCACTTATACACAGAAGATCTCCGCTAAACATAGAACCACTGGTTTATCTGTCTCTCAGTGATGCCGATATTTTCAGAACAAAGTTGACTACAAAGAAAGTTGCCAATGTCTTTGCAACTGATACAAACAAGCAACGTTTAAAAATATGCTTCAAATGAAAACCGAGATGACTGCATAAAAATGTAAACAGTAGGCTATAGGCCTATTTCAATCATATTGAAATACATTTAATGTTCAATCAATTGAGTTCTATTTTGCTACTTGTAGGCTACTGTCAGTACTTTGTCTCAATATATTTCATGACGTGTAGCCTAACATGTGCGCAATGATGTGCCAAATCTGTGATTTTGTATTGGGTAAGCATTAGAATAAGCCACTTCAATATTTGCAGCTGTAGGTGGTAATATCTCTCTAGGTGCTGAAACGTAGTCAGTATTGTGCAGTGGTGTAAAAATACTTAAGTACAACTTAAGTAGTTTTTTTGGTATCTCTACTTGACTTTAATATTTCTATTTTAGACAACTTTTACTTCACTACATTCCTAAAGAAAATAATGTACTTTTTACTCCATACATTTTCCCTGACACCCAAAAGTACTCGTTACATTTTCAATGCTTAGCAGGACAAGAAAATGGTCAAATTCACGCACTTATCAAGAGAACATTCCTGGTCATCCCTACTGCCTCTGATCTGGTGGACTCACTAAACACACATGCTTTGTTTGTAAATTATGTCTCTGTTGGATTGTGCCTCTGGCTAACCGTGGTTCGCTTAATATAAGACATTTGAAATGATTTATACTTTTTACTTTTGATACTTAAGTATATTTAAAACCAAATACTTTTACTCAAGTAGTATTTTACTGGGCGACTTTTACTTGAGTCATTTTCTATTAAGGTATCTTTACTTTTACTCAAGTATGTTACATTTTCGGCCGTTGTAGGAAAGCTGCATTGTTAAAACACACCAAAGCCTAAGTTCCCTCGCCAACAGGAAACCGGGCCCAGATGTGTTAGGGCCGTGTGAATAGCGATGTAAATTGCTTCTTCCATGGATCTGTTGGAGCGGTAGTTTGAAGGCTATAATTATTAGCAATGCCCAATTAGCTAGCTGTACTGTACTTCTCACAACTTGGGACTGTCATTGGTTGTCAATAATATATAACAAGAGGTCTGTCATGCTACCAGCTAGCTACATCCATTTGATGTTCGACGTTAGCTAGCACGCTAACCCTAGATAGCTACCTGGGTATAATTGTTATTAGCAATGCCCAATTAGCTATACGTACTGTACTTCTCACAACTTGGACTGTCATTGGTTGCTAAATAATACAACAAACACAGCTATACCATTGAATCCAATGCAGTGACACTAATGACTGTTCATCATGCTTTTTACGCAGCTTGAGTATTCAACAACCACAGGCACCGTGCCCTGGTAAAACACCCATACAAGTTCTACATGAATACGGAACCAAAATTGGAAACCCTCCCGTGTACGTGATGGAAAAGGCTGAAGGGGAGGCGCACCAACCCAGCTTCATCTTCAACGTTACAATAGGAGATATGTCCTGCACAGGTGAGTGAGTCATCTTGCAACGTAGATAGCTAGCTATGTACATTACACTCTACTTAGCTAGAGAATTAGGGGGGGCTTGTATAAACAACATGGACTTCAAAGTTATATTAATGTTTGCCTCATCCTCAATATGATGTAATTCTGTTGTTGTATCCCAGGTCAAGGGTCCAGTAAAAAAGCTGCCAAACACCAGGCCGCTGAGTCTGTCCTGAACCTTCTGGAAATAGACACTGGAACACTGTGAGTTAACATGGACAATATCTGCCAACAAGTAGCATTTGCAACCATTACAGCCAGTAACATTGTTAACTTTTTACATCTGATTTCCCCCCACTGCAGCCTTCACTTAAAGAAGGAAAGTAACGGCATCCCAGAAGAGCCCAACGACCAACCCAACTCAGTGGGGAAACTGCAGGTGTCTTTGTTATTGGCCTGTTGTAAGAGAATAGGGCTGTGTATTGTTGCAGGACTGTAGTCGTAGTAACACATTTCTGTTGTCATTGAGCACCGTCAGGGGAACAGAAGAAAAATAGTCCTTATGGTTATGAATACAGTGCCTTGCAAAAGTATTCATCCCCCTTGGCGTTTTTCCTATTTTGTTGCATTACAACCTGTAATTTAAATGGATTTTTATTTGGATTTCATGTAATGGACATACACAAAATAGTCCAAATTGGTGAAGTGAAATATTGTTAAAAAATATATATATATATAAAAAATAACGGAAAAGTGGTGCGTGCATATGTATTCACCCCCTTTGCTATGAAGCCCCTAAATAAGATCTGGTGCAACCAATAACCTTCAGAAGTCACATAATTAGTTAAATAAAGTCCACCTGTGTGCAATCTAAGTGTCACATCAAATCAAATCAAATCAAATTTTATTGGTCACATGCGCCGAATACAACAGGTGCAGACATTACAGTGAAATGCTTACTTACAGCCCTTAACCAACAGTGCATTTATTTTAAACAAAAAAAGTAAGAATAAAACAACAACAAAAAAAGTGTTGAGAAAAAAAGAGCAGAAGTAAAATAAAGTGACAGTAGGGAGGCTATATATACAGTAAAATAAAGTGACAGTAGGGAGGCTATATATACAGGGGGGTACCGTTGCAGAGTCAATGTGCGGGGGCACCGGCTAGTTGAGGTAGTTGAGGTAATATGTACATGTGGGTAAAGTTAAAGTGACTATGCATAAATACTTACTTAACAGAGTAGCAGCAGCGTAAAAAGGATGGGGTGGGGGGGCAGTGCAAATAGTCCGGGTAGCCATGATTAGCTGTTCAGGAGTCTTATGGCTTGGGGGTAGAAGCTGTTGAGAAGTCTTTTGGACCTAGACTTGGCACTCCGGTACCGCTTGCCGTGCGGTAGCAGAGAGAACAGTCTATGACTAGGGTGGCTGGAGTCTTTGACAATTTTGAGGGCCTTCCTCTGACACCGCCTGGTATAGAGGTCCTGGATGGCAGGGAGTTTTGCCCCAGTGATGTACTGGGCCGTACGCACTACCCTCTGTAGTGCCTTGCGGTCAGAGGCCAAGCAGTTGCCATACCAGGCGGTGATGCAACCAGTCAGGATGCTCTCGATGGTGCAGCTGTAGAATTTTTTGAGGATCTGAGGACCCATGCCAAATCTTTTTAGTCTCCTGAGGGGGAATAGGCTTTGTCGTGCCCTCTTCACGACTGTCTTGGTGTGTTTGGACCATGATAGTTCGTTGGTGATGTGGACACCAAGGAACTTGAAGCTCTCAACCTGTTCCACTACAGCCCCGTCGATGAGAATGGGGGCGTGCTCAGTCCTCTTTTTTTTCCTGTAGTCCACAATCATCTCCTTTGTCTTGGTCACGTTGAGGGAGAGGTTGTTGTCCTGGCACCACACGGCCAGATCTCTGACCTCCTCCCTATAGGCTGTCTCATCGTTGTCGGTGATCAGGCCTACCACTGTTGTGTCGTCGGCAAACTTAATGATGGTGTTGGAGTCGTGCCTGGCCATGCAGTCATGGGTGAACAGAGAGTACAGGAGGGGACTGAGAACGCACCCCTGAGGGGCCCCCGTGTTGAGGATCAGTGTGGCAGATGTGTTGTTACCTACCCTTACCACCTGGGGGCGGCCCGTCAGGAAGTCCAGGATCCAGTTGCAGAGGGAGGTGTTTAGTCCCAGGATCCTTAGCTTAGTGATGAGCTTAGAGGGCACTATGGTGTTGAATGCTGAGCTGTAGTCAATGAATAGCATTCTCACATGATCTGTCACATAATCTCAGTATATATACACACCTGTTCTGAAAGGCCCCAGAGTCTGCAACACCACTAAGCAAGGGGCACCATCAAGCAAGCGGCACCATGAAGACCAAGGAGCTCTCCAAACAGGTCAGGGACAAGGTTGTGAAGTACAGATCAGGGTTGGGTTATAAAAAAATATCAGAAACTTTGAACATCCCACGGAGCACCATTAAATCCATTATTAAAAAATGGAATGAATATGGCACCACAACAAACCTGCCAAGAGAAGTCCGCCCACCAAAACTCACGGACCAGATAAGGAGGGCATTAATTAGAGAGGCAACAAAGAGACCAAAGATAACCCTGAAGGAGCTGCAAAGCTCCACAGCGGAGATTAGAGTATCTGTCCATATGACAACTTTAAGCCGTACACTCCACAGAGCTGGGCTTTACGGAAGAGTGGCCAGAAAAAAGCCATTGCTTAAAGAAAAAAATAAGCAAACACGTTTGGTGTTCGCCAAAAGGCATGTGGGAAACTCCCCAAACATATGGAAGAAGGTACTTTTTGGCCATCAAGGAAAACGGTATGTCTGGCGCAAACCCAACATCTTTCATCACTCCAAGAACACCATCCCCACAGTGAAGCATGGTGGTGGCAGCATCATGCTGTGGAGATGTTTTTCATCGGCAGGGACTGGGAAACTGGTCAGAATTGAAGGAATGATGGATGGCGCTAAATACAGGAAAATTCTTGAGGGAAACCTGTTTCAGCCTTCCAGAGATTTGAGACTGGGACCAGCAGGACAATGACCCTAAGCATACTGCTAAAGCGACACTCAAGTGGTTTAAGGGGAAACATTTAAATGTCTTGGAATGGCCTAGTCAAAGCCCAGACCTCAATCCAATTGAGAATGTGGTATGACTTAAAGATTGCTGTACACCAGCGGAACCTATCCAACTTGAATGAGCTGGAGCAGTTTTGCCTTGAAGAATGGGCAAAAATCCCAGTGGCTAGATGTGCCAAGCTTATAGAGACATACCCCAAGAGACTTGCAGCTGTAATTGCTGCAAAAGGTGGCTCTACAAAGTATTGACTTTGGGGGGGGGGTGAATAGTTATGCACGATCAAGTTCTGTTTTTTTGTCTTATTTCTTGTTTGTTTCACAAAAACATTCTTCTTGCATCTTCAAAGTGGTAGGCATGTTGTGTAAATCAAATGATTCAAAACCCCCCAAAATCAATTTTAATTCCAGGTTGTAAGGCAACAAAATAGGAAAAATGCCAAGGGGGGTGAATACTTTTGCAAGTTTGTTTTCACCTCTTTGCTAATATGGATTCCTCCACAAAGGAGCTGGCCCTGCAGCGGGGATGGCGCCTCCCTGAATACACTGTTTTCACAGAGGCAGGCCCACCTCACAAGAGAGAGTTCACTGTGACCTGCAGAATGGAGTCGCTCACAGAGACTGGTATGGTGATTCCACTGTTATTCTTTCTAAATGTTTTATCATTGCATTGAAATAACATATTAGTTGTGTTTTTTTTTTGGATTGGTGGATTATTTAAACACATTCTACTTTCGGAAGTGTTCATTTTAGTCATTCATAGTGCTGTATGTCATCCACATGTAACCGATAGCAACGGGAAATTCCAAGAAGGTGGCTAAAAGGACAGCTGCGGAGAAGATGTTGGCAAAACTTCAAAATGTGTCTGGCTGTCCTGAAATCACATGGGTATGTAGAATATTTCCTCTCTATTTGGCCTCTTCACAAAGAATGATAAAAACATATTTAGGTACATTTTGTCATCTAGAATGAATGTAATGTGTATTCTTTGACCAACTCATTCCAGATCCCAAAGCCCGGTGTCCGATTGGAGAACTTGCGTAACTCCTCAGCAGAGAAGATGTCTCTCCTGAGAAGAAACCCACTCAGTATTCCCAACACAGACTATATCCAGATGATGCTGGAGCTATCCCAAGAGCAGGGCTTTGAAGTCACATACTTTGACATCGGTGAGTAGAGTTCATCTCTTCCTTTTACTGACCGTGAAATCACCATAACTCTCATAGATGTGAACTTTGTCTGTTTTTCAAGAATGGCTCAACGGGCCTATTCCCAGGTGTATTGTACAGTGTAGTGTGTCTGTGGTTCGCTTGGCAGATGAGCTGACAGTGAACGGGCAGTACCAGTGCCTGGCAGAGCTGTCCACGTCACCCGTCACCGTATGCCACGGCACGGGCATCTCCTGCGGCAACGCACACAACGACGCCGCACACAGCGCTCTCCAGTACATCAAGATCATGGCTTCCATCAAATGAACGATCGTAGTTAAACGTCACAGATGTTTCACCTGCAATACATATTTAAAGGGTAGGAAGCATGAGTTCTTACTCACCAATGTAACAACACAGTGTGGTCAAAGACTTAGTAACTTGGTTGTAGTCACGATCTGGTTACCTAGAAGTACAAACATAGTCATGTGTTTGGGTTATTACATATTTATTAACTTATTTTCAGATAACTTCTAAACTACCCACAATGCACTATTTTTCAACTTCATATGGAGGATCTAATCTGTGCTACCCAAGTTTGTTAGCTGCTCAGTAGCTAGCTGAAGCTGGAAAACGTTAGCCACACCTCATGCTATTCACAGACTTTGTGCTTGTGTTATCTAGAGGAAACCTGTTAGCATGGCAGGCTCTGGTGCTTTCTTGCCGTGGGCTCAAAACAAAAGAGAAAATCATACCTGCTTTTTGTAGTACCTCGTCTGTTAACCTTTTTGCTTTCTTAACTTTTCGGCATGTTCTCTGTGAAGTAGGCTACGGGAGTTTTGTAACTTTTTCCACCTTGGCTTAGTGCTAGTGCGCTAGCTGACTGACATCTGGAATCTATCTATTTAGGATTTCGGCCCGTTGAAGCGCCCACCTCCCCCTTGCTTTGGTAGCTAACTTAGCCTGCACTCTTTTAAAAGTTTTACCATCGGATGGGTCCCAACCATCAATCTGTATGTCTCTGCTCTCTCTTTGCTTTTAATCTGCGGTTATGTTTTAGTTGTGTTGTGTTCTAGCTGGTCTCCAGTAGTTGGGCTCTAGCTTGCCAACCATAACCGTGGTGGTTGGCTATGCTGGCTAGGCTAATAGCTAGTTGGCTAAATAGCTAATGTTAACTGGCTGGCTAGCTTGCTGGCTAAGATAACTGGTTAGATGGCGTTATATATTTCCAAACGTTGGTTTACTTTAATGTAGCTGTAAACCAGGTGTTGATAGCAACTGGCTGACTCATTCAGTGCTAACATAATGTTAGCAGGCTAGTAGGGCTAACGTTAGCAGGCTAGTTGGCTAGCAACCGTGCAAGTTAATTTGTAACAATGAATTCATAAAGTATTTTCTTGTAAGTTGGCTGAAAATTACATTGAAACCAGTAGTCTGAGTGCAAACGATTTGGCTTGATTTGAATTCATAAATGTGAAGTTATTTCAGTTGGAGTTTACATTATAGGGAATAGGCTGGCTTGCTGGGTCCTCCATATTACATCACATTTGGAAAAAACATTTTCCGACGTGATTATAGTATTGTTCGGAATTTTAATCAGTTTTATGTAATAACTCCAAAGATAGAAAAGTGAGGTAACTTTGCATTGGGACTTTTGATGCGTATAATAATGCAAATCCATATGTTACATGTGGTTACGTTTATGCTACCTATCCTTTAAGGAATTGAGGGGGAAAAAATGTTTTTATTCACAACTGAAAGGTGTAGCTAGCCTCCATCTACCATTATGTTTTCACTCTTTACCCCAGGGTTCACTTTGTGTGGAATTGGTTAATATTGAAGGCAGTATTAATAGAAATCATGACATTCAGACAAATCAATCCAGTTGTTGTTTTTTAAAACAGTGACAGTCAACACCGTTCATCACCTGTGGTGTCTGTCAGCCATTTTTAAGTTTCTTTAAGAAAAGGAAAGAGCAGCGCTAGACAGTGAAAGCTAATCCTGTGGAGTTTATGTACTATAGAAAAACAAGGACAAGGGAATGGACACTAGTCTTGAGAAAGGCCTTGCTGCCAAAATGTAGACATGTCGAAAACAGTCTCCATCCTATCCCATTGTCCTTGTTTTTCAAAAGCCACTGTGAGGACACGCAATCGTGTATTGAATGATAAATGTAAAACTATTTGCACTGAACAAAATTAGTGAGAGGAAACTCGTTTGGCCTCGTTTAGTCATAAGCCTATGATAAAAAATGAATTTATCAATGAATTTAATCACATATTAACGTAAGTCTGCCCCTCATTTTTGACACAGGGATATTTTCAAAATAATGAAGCAGATTGTCAAAGGTCAGTTGGATAAATTAAGTAACAAACAAAATATTCAGTACACATTGGTATTCTGTTTGATATACTAAATGATATCTGCTTTATTTAATTGGTTATAATTTCTCTTTGCCAAGTCAAGATTCAATTACATTACTGTGAAATACTTTTCCATTGCAATATTTCCTTTTCCATAGCGTATATTAATAACATAGTCCATTATAACTTTTAGTTTGATTTTAAAGTGAAGTTTTTGAGCTTTGGTTAACACCATTATATTACTGTTTCTTTGATATTGCGTTTTATTCCGTCATACAGAGGACTCTTGTTTTGTGTAACTACCACATGTATTAACAGAGAGCAAGACCAACAGCAAGTTTAGTGTCAAAACAAAAACTGCTCCAATTAGAAAATGTTATTTAGCTTGAATTGTGCTCACATTATATGACAGGATAGAAAACTACATGTCTAGATTATGAAAACATGTATATTTTGTAAGTTAATAGTAGCAAGATGGCATACTCAGAAACATCGGGACACTCCTGATTTAGACTTCAAGACCAAGACTGCCATGATTGTCTCTTCATGCTACAAAGAGCCAATAATTGCAATCTTGGTAGCTTTGATGTTGATGACTAAGAAGGTAATCGCCCTGTTGTGATTGGTGATGTCATCTTGCTCAGTCTACCTGTAATGTAGCCTAGTTATGTCAGCTGTGTATGATGTCATGCTGCTGTGTATATGTGTGTTTGAAGGCTTTGAGTTTGTGTCTGTGCTGGCCTTCACACTGAGTGCAGTGAAATGTTATGGGTCTACTACTGCTAATGATTGGATGATTTTTACAACCGGATTCCACCTTATCCTGAGTTTCTGTCACAAAGCCTAGATTGGGCGGTTTAATCACATTTTGGTTTCCTTTAACAAGGTGTGTATTGTAATGTTTTGGTGGACTCATCCCAAGCGTGTGCTGTGTACCTGAACATATTAATACACAATTATTAGATGTGAAGTGGGACAGACATGTTCAATAAATCTACTCGACATTGGCCTCATCCTAAGTTTATTGTCCCTTTTTTAACATTCATGAAAAATGTAGTTTTTTTCCCCTGACCAACAGGTAACTGCCAAAATAAAGGAAACACCAACATAAAGTGTTGGCCGCCACGAGCCAGAACGGCTTCAATGCACCTTGGCATAGATTCTACAATTATCCGTTAGAGGGATGCGACACCATTCTTCCACGAGAAATTCCATCATTCTGAGTTTTGTTGATGGTGGTGGAAAACACTGTCTCTGGTGCCGCTCCAGAATTTCCCATAAGTGTTCAGGCGGCCATGGCATATGGCTTACATTGTTTTCATGCTCATCAAACTATTCAGTGACCACTCGTGCCCTGTGGATGGGAGCATTGTCAATCCTATAGCGGCATAGCCATGGTAGCCAAAATAATGGCCAAAATGATGCTGTATCGCATTAGTGGAAACCGTGACTCTAACCCTTTTCTTAACCTTAACCTAATTCTCCTAACCTGCTGCGAAAAGCCTCTCCTACTAGTCAAAACCGGCAGACCCACCCTGAGAACAGTCTTGGTTTCCACTAATGTGATGCAATGGCCTGCCCAATATTTTTTATACATGACCCTAAGCATGATGGGATGTTAATTGCTTAATTAACTCAGGAAGAACAACCCAATATACTTTGTATCCCTCATTTACGGGCGGCAGGTAGCTTAGTGGTTAAGAGCATTGTGCCAGTAACCGAAAGGTCGCTGGTTCTAATCCCCGAGCCAACTAGGTGAAAAATCTGTCAATGTGCCCTTGAGCAAGGCACTTAACCCTAATTGCTCCTGTAAGTCGCTCTGGATAAGAGCGTCTGCTAAATGACAAAATAAAAAAAATAAAAATGTACTCAAGTGTTTCCATAATTGTATCAGTTACCTGTATATAGACAGTAGGCTGATTGTAGAGGAGTGAACATGAAATCTTCATTTTGTTTTATGTGACTGTAGTAATTCAGTCCTATCTACAGTCTCTGGGTCAACATGGCAGCAGCAGCACTGACTAAAATAAATAAATATATATATATATATATATATATATATATATATATATATACTGAGCAAAAATATAAACGCAACATGTAAAGTGTTGGTCCCATGTTTCATGAACTGAAATAAATGATCCCAGAAATGTTCCATACGCACAAAAAGATGTGTTGTGCTGGGGACAATAAAAGGCCACTTTAAAATGTGCAGTTTTGTCACACACAATGCCACAGATGTCTCAAATTTTGAGGGCACGTGAAATTGGCATGCTGACTGCAGGAATGTCCACCAGAACTGTTGCCAGATAATTAACTGTTCATTTATCTACCATAAGCTGCCTCCAATGTCGTTTTAGAGAATTTGGCAGTACGTCCAACCGGCCTCATAACCGCAGACCACATGTAACCACGCCAGCCCAGGACCTCCACATCTGGCTTCTTCACCTGCGGGATCGTCTGAGACCAGCCAGCCGGACAGCTGATTAAACTGTGGGTTTGCACAACCGAATAATTTCAGCACAAACTGTCAGAAACCGTCTCGGGGAAGCTCATTTGCGTGTTCATCGTCCTTACCAGGGTCTTGAACTGACTGCAGCTCGGCGTCGTAGCCGACATCAGTGGGCAAATGCTCACCTTCCATGGCCACTGGCAAGCTGGAGAAGTGTACTCTTCACAGATTAATCCCGGTTTCAACTGTACCGGGCAGATAGCAGACTGCATAGCATGTATGGCGTTGTGTGGACGAGCGGTTTGTGCCGATGTCAATGTTGTGAACAGAGTGCACCATGGTAGCGGTGAGGTTATGGTATGGGCAGGTATAAGCTACAGACAACGAACACAATTTCATTTTATCGATGGCAATTTGAATGCACAGAGATACCGTGATGAGATCCTGAGGCCCATTGTCTTGCCATTCATCCGCCGCCATCACCTCATGTTTCAGCATGATCTGTACACAATTCCTGGAAGCTGAAAATGTCCCAGTTCTTCCATGGCCTGCATACTCACCAGATATGTCACCCATTGAGCATGTTTGGGATGCTCTGGATTGAAGTTTACGACAGCGTGTTCCAGTTCCCGCCAATATCCAGCAACTTCGCACAGCCATTGAAGAGGTGTAGGACAACATTCCACAGGCCACAATCAACAGCCTGATCAACTCTATGTGAAGGAGATGTGTCACGGTGCATGAGGCAAATGGTGGTCACACCAGATACTGACTGGTTTTATGATCCAGGCCCCTGACCAATAGATGCATATCTGTATTCCCAGTCATGTGAAATCCATAGATTAGAGCCTAATGAATTTATTTAAATTGACTGATTTCCATATATGAACTAACTCAGTAAAATCTTTGAAATTGTTGCATATTGCGTTTATATTTTTGTTCTGTGTAAATAGCCCACAACAAATTCTAGCAATCCTGTACAAGAATTCCTTCACTTGTTTTTGATTGTGTTATTCTTTATTTGACCTTGGAACATGTTTTAAAACCCCAGTGTAATGCAAATGACATTTAAATATGAATAATTGTTCATATTTAGACAATTATTTGTCATATATGAATTAATAATACAAGTTGACGCTTTTTTACTATTATGTGAGACTTTTATTTAGAAAGATTCCTAAATTCCGTGACAGGTAAGTGATTGGTTAGTGTTGCTGACAAGACGCCAGTTGAAATCGGCAACTCCCCCCTAGCTAGCCAAATTCGCCTGTTTTGCAGCACACCAATTATATTTGCGCAACAGTATACCCAAGAAACTTCTTAACTAGTTATTGTTAGCCATGTCTCAAGACGGATTTCAACCTACACTAATAAGGACAACGCACAATAACAACACGAGGTCTGTCATGCTACCAGCTAGCTAGCTACGTCGGTTTGGTTTCCATCCATTTGATGCTCTTTACTTGGCTAGCTAGTCAGCTAGCTTTAGTTTGCATTATTGTCAAGTTAAACGTTATTAGTCGTATCCTAAACATGTTATACACCGTCCAAGGAAATGCTTACTTGCAGGTTCCTTCTCGACAATGCAACAACAATAAGAAATAACTATAGAATACGAAAGTAAATGGCGCAGTAGAATAGAATACACATTTTACCCCATATACGGGGGGTTATAGGACAGTATTTAGACATGTATCAGAGAAAGGGGGGATTGGGGGCAAGTGTTTAAATTGTGCAGTATTAGCAGTAGTAAGTAAAGAGTCTGATAGCAGCAGTTGCGATGTGTGTGTAGCATGAATGCCTATATGTGAGTGAGTGCATGTGTGCTAATGTGCGGAGAGTAAGTGCAGGTGTCAGTCCAGTTCAAGTGTAGAGCAGTCTGATGGCTTGTAGATATAAACGGTCTCTGAGCCTGTTCTTATCAGACCTCATGCTCCGATACCGTCTACCTGACGTTAAGGGAGTAAACAGCTCGTGTGTGTGGGGTCCTTAATGGTGAAGCGGGACTTACTCAGGCACCGTTTCTGGTAGATGTCCTGGATGGGGTGGGAACACGGCTCCAGTGATGTACTGGGCCGTGTTCACCCGCCGCTGGAGGGCCTTGCCGTCGTAGTGCAACCGGTCAGGACGCTCTCGATGATGCTGCAGTAGTATTTGGAGAGGACCCGGGGTGACATGCAGAATTTCTTCAGACACTGAGGAACTTAAAACTGCTGAGTTTCCACTGCAGTCCCGTTGATGTGTATCTGGGCGTGTCCCCTCTGCCTCCTGAAGTCCACAATCAACTACATTGCTTTGCTGATGTTGAGGGAGAGGTTGTTGTCCTGGCACCACAATGCCAATTCACTTACCGCCTCCCTATAGGCTGACTCGTCGTAGGCCTGACAACAACCGTGGTGGTGTCGTCAGCAAACATTGTGTTAAGCACTAGTGTGGAGGAGGTGGTGTTGTCAATTCTCCCATCCTGTGGTCTGCCCGTCAGGAAGTCCAGGATCCAGTTGCAGAGGGTAGTGCCAAGACCCAGGGCTCTGATCCTGGTGACGAGCTTGGAGGGAACAATAGTGTTCAATACTGAACTGTAGTCAATGAACAGCATTCTCACATAGGTGTACCTCTTGTCCAGGGCCCTGTTTCCCAAAAGCATCTTAAGGTTAAGTTCTTCGTTAGAACCTTCATATGAGCATCGTTAAATCTGAGTTTTTTCCCAAAACCATCGTTATTAACGTTGTACTTGAAAAGGCTCGTAATCTAACGCCTGTCTCAGACCACTTGTAGAACAGCTAAGTGCGTCGTTTGATGTTTTTTTTTTGCCCTCCTACGTCACTTATACACAGAAGATCTCCGCTAAACATAGAACCACTGGTTTATCTGTCTCTCAGTGATGCCGATATTTTCAGAACAAAGTTGACTACAAAGAAAGTTGCCAATGTCTTTGCAACTGATACAAACAAGCAACGTTTAAAAATATGCTTCAAATGAAAACCGAGATGACTGCATAAAAATGTAAACAGTAGGCTATAGGCCTATTTCAATCATATTGAAATACATTTAATGTTCAATCAATTGAGTTCTATTTTGCTACTTGTAGGCTACTGTCAGTACTTTGTCTCAATATATTTCATGACGTGTAGCCTAACATGTGCGCAATGATGTGCCAAATCTGTGATTTTGTATTGGGTAAGCATTAGAATAAGCCACTTCAATATTTGCAGCTGTAGGTGGTAATATCTCTCTAGGTGCTGAAACGTAGTCAGTATTGTGCAGTGGTGTAAAAATACTTAAGTACAACTTAAGTAGTTTTTTTGGTATCTCTACTTGACTTTAATATTTCTATTTTAGACAACTTTTACTTCACTACATTCCTAAAGAAAATAATGTACTTTTTACTCCATACATTTTCCCTGACACCCAAAAGTACTCGTTACATTTTCAATGCTTAGCAGGACAAGAAAATGGTCAAATTCACGCACTTATCAAGAGAACATTCCTGGTCATCCCTACTGCCTCTGATCTGGTGGACTCACTAAACACACATGCTTTGTTTGTAAATTATGTCTCTGTTGGATTGTGCCTCTGGCTAACCGTGGTTCGCTTAATATAAGACATTTGAAATGATTTATACTTTTTACTTTTGATACTTAAGTATATTTAAAACCAAATACTTTTACTCAAGTAGTATTTTACTGGGCGACTTTTACTTGAGTCATTTTCTATTAAGGTATCTTTACTTTTACTCAAGTATGTTACATTTTCGGCCGTTGTAGGAAAGCTGCATTGTTAAAACACACCAAAGCCTAAGTTCCCTCGCCAACAGGAAACCGGGCCCAGATGTGTTAGGGCCGTGTGAATAGCGATGTAAATTGCTTCTTCCATGGATCTGTTGGAGCGGTAGTTTGAAGGCTATAATTATTAGCAATGCCCAATTAGCTAGCTGTACTGTACTTCTCACAACTTGGGACTGTCATTGGTTGTCAATAATATATAACAAGAGGTCTGTCATGCTACCAGCTAGCTACATCCATTTGATGTTCGACGTTAGCTAGCACGCTAACCCTAGATAGCTACCTGGGTATAATTGTTATTAGCAATGCCCAATTAGCTATACGTACTGTACTTCTCACAACTTGGACTGTCATTGGTTGCTAAATAATACAACAAACACAGCTATACCATTGAATCCAATGCAGTGACACTAATGACTGTTCATCATGCTTTTTACGCAGCTTGAGTATTCAACAACCACAGGCACCGTGCCCTGGTAAAACACCCATACAAGTTCTACATGAATACGGAACCAAAATTGGAAACCCTCCCGTGTACGTGATGGAAAAGGCTGAAGGGGAGGCGCACCAACCCAGCTTCATCTTCAACGTTACAATAGGAGATATGTCCTGCACAGGTGAGTGAGTCATCTTGCAACGTAGATAGCTAGCTATGTACATTACACTCTACTTAGCTAGAGAATTAGGGGGGGCTTGTATAAACAACATGGACTTCAAAGTTATATTAATGTTTGCCTCATCCTCAATATGATGTAATTCTGTTGTTGTATCCCAGGTCAAGGGTCCAGTAAAAAAGCTGCCAAACACCAGGCCGCTGAGTCTGTCCTGAACCTTCTGGAAATAGACACTGGAACACTGTGAGTTAACATGGACAATATCTGCCAACAAGTAGCATTTGCAACCATTACAGCCAGTAACATTGTTAACTTTTTACATCTGATTTCCCCCCACTGCAGCCTTCACTTAAAGAAGGAAAGTAACGGCATCCCAGAAGAGCCCAACGACCAACCCAACTCAGTGGGGAAACTGCAGGTGTCTTTGTTATTGGCCTGTTGTAAGAGAATAGGGCTGTGTATTGTTGCAGGACTGTAGTCGTAGTAACACATTTCTGTTGTCATTGAGCACCGTCAGGGGAACAGAAGAAAAATAGTCCTTATGGTTATGAATACAGTGCCTTGCAAAAGTATTCATCCCCCTTGGCGTTTTTCCTATTTTGTTGCATTACAACCTGTAATTTAAATGGATTTTTATTTGGATTTCATGTAATGGACATACACAAAATAGTCCAAATTGGTGAAGTGAAATATTGTTTAAAAAAATATATATATACAAAATAACGGAAAAGTGGTGCGTGCATATGTATTCACCCCCTTTGCTATGAAGCCCCTAAATAAGATCTGGTGCAACCAATTACCTTCAGAAGTCACATAATTAGTGAAATAAAGTCCACCTGTGTGCAATCTAAGTGTCACATGATCTGTCACATAATCTCAGTATATATACACACCTGTTCTGAAAGGCCCCGGAGTCTGCAACACCACTAAGCAAGGGGCACCATCAAGCAAGCGGCACCATGAAGACCAAGGAGCTCTCCAAACAGGTCAGGGACAAGGTTGTGGAGAAGTACAGATCAGGGTTGGGTTATAAAAAAATATCAGAAACTTTGAACATCCCACGGAGCACCATTAAATCCATTATTAAAAAATGGAATGAATATGGCACCACAACAAACCTGCCAAGAGAAGTCTGCCCACCAAAACTCACAGACCAGATAAGGAGGGCATTAATCAGAGAGGCAACAAAGAGACCAAAGATAACCCTGAAGGAGCTGCAAAGCTCCACAGCGGAGATTAGAGTATCTGTCCATATGACAACTTTAAGCCGTACACTCCACAGAGCTGGGCTTTACGGAAGAGTGGCCAGAAAAAAGCCATTGCTTGAAGAAAAAAATAAGCAAACACGTTTGGTGTTCGCCAAAACGCATGTGGGAAACTCCCCAAACATATGGAAGAAGGTACTCTGGTCAGATGAGACTAAAATTGAGCTTTTTGGCCATCAAGGAAAACGCTATGTCTGGCGCAAACCCAAAACCTCTAAACACTCCGAGAACACCATCCCCACAGTGAAGCATGGTGGTGGCAGCATCATGCTGTGGGGATGTTTTTCCATCGGCAGGGACTGGGAAACTGGTCAGAATTGAAGGAATGATGGATGGCGCTAAATACAGGAAAATTCTTGAGGGAAACCTGTTTCAGCCTTCCAGAGATTTGAGACTGGGACCAGCAGGACAATGACCCTAAGCATACTGCTAAAGCGGCTCTCAAGTGGTTTAAGGGGAAACATTTAAATGTCTTGGAATGGCCTAGTCAAAGCCCAGACCTCAATCCAATTGAGAATGTGGTATGACTTAAAGATTGCTGTACACCAGCGGAACCTATCCAACTTGAATGAGCTGGAGCAGTTTTGCCTTGAAGAATGGGCAAAAATCCCAGTGGCTAGATGTGCCAAGCTTATAGACACATACCCCAAGAGACTTGCAGCTGTAATTGCTGCAAAAGGTGGCTCTACAAAGTATTGACTTTGGGGGGGTAAATAGTTATGCACGATCTTCAGTTTTTTTGTCTTATTTCTTGTTTGTTTCACAAAAACATTCTTCTTGCATCTTCAAAGTGGTAGGCATGTTGTGTAAATCAAATGATTCAAAACCCCCCAAAATCAATTTTAATTCCAGGTTGTAAGGCAACAAAATAGGAAAAATGCCAAGGGGGGTGTATACTTTTGCAAGCTTGTTTTAATCTCTTTGCTAATATGGATTCCTCCACAAAGGAGCTGGCCCTGCAGCGGGGATGGCGCCTCCCTGAATACACTGTTTTCACAGAGGCAGGCCCACCTCACAAGAGAGAGTTCACTGTGACCTGCAGAATGGAGTCGCTCACAGAGACTGGTATGGTGATTCCACTGTTATTCTTTCTAAATGTTTTATCATTGCATTGAAATAACATATTAGTTGTGTTTTTTTTTTGGATTGGTGGATTATTTAAACACATTCTACTTTCGGAAGTGTTCATTTTAGTCATTCATAGTGCTGTATGTCATCCACATGTAACCGATAGCAACGGGAAATTCCAAGAAGGTGGCTAAAAGGACAGCTGCGGAGAAGATGTTGGCAAAACTTCAAAATGTGTCTGGCTGTCCTGAAATCACATGGGTATGTAGAATATTTCCTCTCTATTTGGCCTCTTCACAAAGAATGATAAAAACATATTTAGGTACATTTTGTCATCTAGAATGAATGTAATGTGTATTCTTTGACCAACTCATTCCAGATCCCAAAGCCCGGTGTCCGATTGGAGAACTTGCGTAACTCCTCAGCAGAGAAGATGTCTCTCCTGAGAAGGAACCCACTCAGTATTCCCAACACAGACTACATCCAGATGATGCTGGAGCTATCCCAAGAGCAGGGCTTTGAAGTCACATACTTTGACATCGGTGAGTAGTTCATCTCTTCCTTTTACTGACAGTGAAATCACCATAACTCTCATAGATGTGAACTTTGTCTGTTTTTCAAGAATGGCTCAACGGGCCTATTCCCAGGTGTATTGTACAGTGTAGTGTGTCTGTGGTTTGCTTGGCAGATGAGCTGACAGTGAACGGGCAGTACCAGTGCCTGGCAGAGCTGTCCACGTCACCCGTCACCGTATGCCACGGCACGGGCATCTCCTGCGGCAACGCACACAACGACGCCGCACACAGCGCTCTCCAGTACATCAAGATCATGGCTTCCATCAAATGAACGATCGTAGTTAAACGTCACAGACGTTTTAAGGAATTGAGGAAACACCTATTTAATCACAACTGAAAATACCATTATGTTTTCACTCCTTACCCCAGTGTTCACTTTGTGTGGAATTGGTGAATATTGAAGGCAGTATTAATAGAAATCATGACATTCAGACAAATCAATCCATTTTTTTTTTTTGTGACAGTCAACACCGTTCATCACCTGTGGTGTCTGTCAGCCATTTTTACGTTTCTTTAAGAAAAGGAAAGAGCAGCGCTAGACAGTGAAAGCTAATCCTGTGGAGTTTATGTACTATAGAAAAACAAGGACAAGGGAATGGACACTAGTCTTGAGAAAGGCCTTGCTGCCTAAATGTTGACATGTCGAAAACAGTCTCCATCCTATCCCGTTGTCCTTGTTTTTCAAAAGCCATTGTGAGGACGCAATCGTGTATTGAATGATAAATGTAAAACTATTTGCACTGAACAAAATTAGTGAGAGGAAACTCGTTTGGCCTAGTTTAGACATAAGCCTATGATAAAAAATGAATCAATTAATTTAATCACATATTAACGTAAGTCTGCCCCTCATTTTTCACACAGGGATATTTTCAAAATAATGAAGCAGATTGACAAAGGTCAGTTGGATAAATTAAGTAACAAACAAAATATTCATTACACATTGGTATTTTGTTTGATGTACTAAATGATATCTGCTTTATTTAATTGGTTATCATTTCTCTTTGCCAAGTCAAGATTTAATAACATTACTGTGAAATACTTTTCCATTGCGTATATTAATAACATAGTCCATTATAACTTTTAGTTTGATTTTAAAGTGAAGTTTTTGAGCTTTGGTTAACACCATTATATTACTGTTTCTTTGATATTGCGTTTTATTCCGTCATACAGAGGACTCTTGTTTTGTGTAACTACCACATGTATTAAAAGAAAACAAGACCAACAGCAGGTTTTAGTTTAGTGTCGAAACAAAAACTGCTCCAATTAGAAAATGTTATTTAGCTTGAATTGTGCTCACATTATATGACAGGATAGAAAACTACATGTCTAGATTATGAAAACATGTATATTTTGTAAGTTAATGGTAGCAAGATGGCATACTCAGAAACATCGGGACACTCCTGATTTAGACTTCAAGACCAAGACTGCCATGATTGTCTCTTCATGCTACAAAGAGCCAATAATTGCAATCTTGGTAGCTTTGATGTTGATGACTAAGAAGGTAATCGCCCTGTTGTGATTGGTGATGTCATCTTGCTCAGTCTACCTGTAATGTAGCCTAGTTATGTCAGCTGTGTATGAAGTCATGCTGCTGTGTATATGTGTGTTTGAAGGCTTTGAGTTTGTGTCTGTGCTGGCCTTCACTCTGAGTGCAGTGAAATGTTGTTATGGGTCTACTACTGCTAATGATCGGATGATTTTTACAACCAGATTCCACCTTGTCCTGAGTTTCTGTCACAAAGCCTAGATTGGGCGGTTTAATCACATTTTGGTTTCCTTTAACAAGGTGTGTATTGTAATGTTTTGGTGGACTCATCCCAAGCGTGTGCTGTGTACCTGAACATATTAATACACAATTATTAGATGTGAAGTGGGACAGACATGTTCAATAAATCTACTCGACATTAGCCTCATCCTAAGTTTATTGTCCCTTTTTTAACATTCATGAAAAATGTCCCCAAAAATGTTTTACCTCCGATTTGAATGTTTTACCTCCGATTTGAACCACTGCTGTAGACTGTCCTACATAGACAGTAACCTGATTGTAGGGGAGTGAACATGAACTCTTTATTTTGGTTCCTGTGACTGTAGTAATTCAGTCCTCTCTATAGTCTCTTGGTCTGGGTCAACATGGCAGCAGCAGCACTGACGAAAACCCCCAAATAGCCCACAAAATATTAATGCGATCCGGTGCAAGAATTCCTTCACTTGTTTTTGAGTAAAGGCCAACACAGTCCATTACTGCCATCTACTGTGCAGGAGACTCAAGAGTACGATGGGGTTATTACAATGACTATTCTGTTAGGTACTTAACATGAAACTACTACACCGACCTCAGTAATGCTTGGCTGAAACTACTACACCGACCTCAGTAATGCTTGGCTGAAACTACTACACCAACCTCAGTAATGCTTGGCTGAAACTACTACACCGACCTCAGTAATGCTTGGCTGAAACTACTACACCGACCTCAGTAATGCTTGGCTGAAACTACTACACCAACCTCAGTAATGCTTGGCTGAAACTACTACACCAACCTCAGTAATGCTTGGCTGAAACTACTACACCGACCTCAGTAATGCTTGGCTGAAACTACTACACCAACCTCAGTAATGCTTGGCTGAAACTACTACACCAACCTCAGTAATGCTTGGCTGAAACTACTACACCGACCTCAGTAATGCTTGGCTGAAACTACTACACCAACCTCAGTAATGCTTGGCTGAAACTACTACACCGACCTCAGTAATGCTTGGCTGAAACTACTACACCAACCTCAGTAATGCTTGGCTGAAACTACTACACTGACCTCAATAATACTTGGCTGAAACTACTACACCGACCTCAGTAATGTTTGGCTGAAACTACTACACCGACCTCAGTAATGCTTGGCTGAAACTACTACACCGACCTCAGTAATGCTTGGCTGAAACTACTACACCGACCTCAGTAATGCTTGGCTGAAACTACTACACCAACCTCAGTAATGCTTGGCTGAAACTACTACACCGACCTCAGTAAAGCTTGGCTGAAACTACTACACCAACCTCAGTAATGCTTGGCTGAAACTACTACACCAACCTCAGTAATGCTTGGCTGAAACTACTACACCGACCTCAATAATGCTTGGCTGAAACTACTACACCGACCTCAGTAATGCTTGGCTGAAACTACTACACCAACCTCAGTAATGCTTGGCTGAAACTACTACACTAACCTCTAATGCTTGGCTGAAACTACTACACCGACCTCTAATGCTTGGCTGGGTTTGGAGGATCAACACAAGGCAGCACAGTGTGTGACAGACTCCTCGGTTGTATTTATTTGTATTAGAACGAGCACTATGTAGCAGCAGTGAACAGTGTTTATGGAAAGATATGTACTTAGACAATTGCACTTTAGAAGGTACCCATTAGAAAATGGATTTAAAGAACTCCGCTGACAGTGTGTAGTGTTACATGTCAGTTCGAAACTAAAATAAAAAGCCCAATTGAGGAAAATAAAATCTTTCATAAAGGCATTTGCAACATTCATTGGCAGGCTATGTCATTTAAACACGCAGATACATAAACGTTGTAACCGATTAACTCTTCAGGAGGATTCATTGTTCTGCTCTGATTAAACAAGTCTTGGTTATTTTCTACAAGGTCTCTGTCTGAAAACAACGTATTCATGTAGAACATCACAGAGTACATCATCCTCCTCAAATACCCTGATGAATTTAAGTCTTATGTTGAAGTTGATAGTAAAGTCTTTGCATCAGTCCAATCCAAAAGAGGAGATAGTCATATTTACAGGTAGTGGACTGCAGTAGTGTACTGGGCTGACAATATGATACTGACAATAACAGTGATCACAAATGGTTGACTGCACAGAAAATAAGAATTTCGAGATTATTTATGGGAAATGTCAATTGAGTGTGAACACATTCTCTCGTTGTTCCTGCCTAAACATCTTAACAAGATTTCAGATAACACATTCCCTCCCGTGGTGAATTGCGACACATTCAGAACACTTCCTATTCCTTGACTGTCATTATTTAGTAACATAATACAAATGTTGGGAACCGTACTCTGTGGGGAAAGTTGGTTGATTGGATTTTAAATGTTTTCCTTATCTGACTTGTATGGGGTTTCTTATCAATATTGTGTGCGAGGTGTTAATAAAATGTATTAAGGCACAGCAAGTGAAATTGACGCTGACAAACCATTGATCTCTGAATACATGGCTACAATATGATACTGTGGTCATGTCTATTGTTTTTCTGTCTAATCTGCAGTATTGGACATTACACACTAAATAATAGTTAAGACTTTATAATTCAATGTTTCCATTCTACATATTTCTAACGTAGAACCACTTTCCCTGTTTCAATTTCCGGCTTTACTAGACAAAACAAAGAACAAATCAATATAATCCAAATGTATAATGTATATATATATATATTTTTTTTTTTACAGATTCTGTGGTAATCTAACATTGAACCATTGTGTATTGACTGCTACACACAGTGACAAAGGCAGGGGGACATCAAATATACATTAAAGCTGATATGTTTGGCAGTAATAAGCTAAACCTTTTAAATTGTATTGGTGCATGGTTAAGGACAACATCATAGCAGTAAACTCTAGTAACTGGACACTTGTTTAAAGGATATTCAAGGATATCATAACTTTATCTGTAACTACATAATTAAAACCACAACTAGAATGACTTTCTGTTTCTATAATTAAAACGCTTGTCTTTGGCTTTAACATCAACATTTTGCCATGTTAAAGGATTTGCAAAAGCAAAAAAGTTCTGAACTTTGTAAAAGAACTTAAGAGAAGTTGATGTTTGACTAACTCAAGTCCTTGGCCTCTTTACATAACAGATTCCCACATACATATGAATTCATGTTAAGTATTTTTAAAGAACTGACAGTAGGTATCCCTAGTGTTTCATAATACACTAGTTGTATAAGTGGGGGTATAGTTGGTATAGTTGTATAAATGGGGGTAGCTAGTCAGTCAGTCTGGTGTAGTTGTATAAATGGGGGTAGCTAGTCAGTCAGTCTGGTGTAGTTGTATAAATGGGGGTAGCTAGTCAGTCAGTCTGGTATAGTTGTATAAATGGGGGTAGCTAGTCAGTCTGGTATAGTTGTATAAATGGGGGTAGCTAGTCAGTCAGTCTGGTGTAGTTGTATAAATGGGGGTAGCTAGTCAGTCAGTCTGGTGTAGTTGTATAAATGGGGGTAGCTAGTCAGTCTGGTGTAGTTGTATAAATGGGGGTAGCTAGTCAGTCAGTCTGGTGTAGTTGTATAAATGGGGGTAGCTAGTCAGTCAGTCTGGTGTAGTTGTATAAATGGGGGTAGCTAGTCAGTCAATCTGGTGTAGTTGTATAAATGGGGGTAGCTGGTCAGTCAGTCTGGTGTAGTTGTATAAATGGGGGTAGCTAGTCAGTCAGTCTGGTGTAGTTGTATAAATGGGGGTAGCTAGTCAGTCAGTCTGGTGTAGTTGTATAAATGGGGGTAGCTGGTCAGTCAGTCTGGTGTAGTTGTATAAATGGGGGTAGCTAGTCAGTCAATCTGGTGTAGTTGTATAAATGGGGGTAGCTAGTCAGTCAGTCTGGTGTAGTTGTATAAATGGGGGTAGCTAGTCAGTCAATCTGGTGTAGTTGTATAAATGGGGGTAGCTAGTCAGTCAGTCTGGTGTAGTTGTATAAATGGGGGTAGCTAGTCAGTCTGGTGTAGTTGTATAAATGGGGGTAGCTAGTCAGTCAGTCTGGTGTAGTTGTATAAATGGGGGTAGCTAGTCAGTCAGTCTGGTGTAGTTGTATAAATGGGGGTAGCTAGTCAGTCAGTCTGGTGTAGTTGTCTAAATGGGGGTAGCTAGTCAGTCAGTCTGGTGTAGTTGTATAAATGGGGGTTGCTGGTGACACTGTCTGTGATTTATTTAGAATTCAAGGCACACTTAACTAGCATGGCTACCACAGCATTCTGCAGCAATATGCCATCCCATCTGGTTTGGGCTTAGTGGGACTATAATTTGTTTTTCAACAGGACAATGACCCAACACACCTCCAGGCTGTGTAAGGGCTATTTTACCAAGAAGGAGAATGATGGAGTGCTGCATCAGATGACCTGGCCTCCACAACCCCCCGACCTCAACCAAAATTGAGATGGTTTGGGATGAGTCGGACAGCAGAGTGAAGGAAAAGCAACCAACAAGTGCTCAGCATATGTGGGAACTCCTTCAAGACTGTTGGAAAAGCATTCCAGGCAAAGCTGTCATCAAGGCAAAGGGTGGCTATTTGAAGAATCTCAAATGTAAAATATATTTTGATTTGTTTAACACTTTTTTTGGTTACTACATGATTCCATATGTGTTATTTCATAATTTTGATGTCTTCACTATTAGTCTACAATGTAGAAAATAGTAAAAATAAAGAAAAACCCTTGAATGAGTAGGTGTTCTAAAACTTTTGACCGGTAGTGTATGTCGGCATGTGGTTCTAGTTCTACTGCAGGCTAGGATTCAGCACTCTCACTATAAAACTCAGACAACAACGCAGATAAATTGTATTATAGGAAATTAAAGAACGTTAAAATTATATGAATACTTTTTTTTTTTTTTTTACTTAAACTATCAAAACTAGTTTGCGTGTGAGCTGAATAAGGGAAAGCAGTATTGTCTATACATGTAAAAGTTAATTACAAGGAAGTATTGTCTGTAGCTTAAACAGTTGTGGTGAGTGACGAGGGTGGTGTGCTGCATGAAGGGTCAAAAAGGAACTTTGGCGACTAATACATGTTTTTTTTTTTTTTTTAAACCTCCCGCTTTGGGCTGGATGTGTCATTAGCCACATTTATACCTGGTAATAACATGCACCCTTTGTCCTGATCCTATCCTCATTCTGATTGTGCCACATCTTTACACAGGTGTAGACTAATATAAGACGCATTGTGAACTGAGTTTGATCAGATCTTACAATTGTATACTGGCAAGATCAGGAACAGATCATTTTTACATTTTAGTCATTTAGCAGACGCTCTTATCCAGAGCGACTTATAGTTAGTGAGTGCATACATAATTTTTTATACTGGCCCCCCGTGGGAATCGAACCCACAACCCTGGCGTTGCAAACGCCATGCTCTACCAACTGAGCTACATCCCTGCCGGCCATTCCCTCCCCTACCCTGGATGACGCTGGGCCAATTGTGGGCCGCCCCATGGGTCTCCTGGTCGCGGCCGGCTACGACAGAGCCTGGATACGAACCAGGATCTCTAGTGGCACAGCTAGCACTGCGATGCAGTGCCTTAGACCACTGCGCCACTCGGGAGACCCGAGATCAGGACGAAGGACGCATGTAAGTGGCAGGTATAAACGGGGCTAATGTATAGTTCACACATGCATAATCTATGAGCAGAATTACGGTCTTACCTCAATTAGACACAAAATACCAAGTTTGAAAGTGACAGTTTTTCAGGAAGCTGAGATGCAACATTTCCCCTACATTTTCCCCCACGTGGCCAGCCCCCTAGAAATTTCAGTTCAACCAATGAGCTTCAGCCATTTGAGTGACAGCTAGCAAGAGGCACATGATGCACACACAGCAGAGCGAGAGCAATGATGTGGTGCACAAATCTGCACGTATGTAATGTACTACGCAATTTTCAGGGCCCACTTTTGGCTCGTGAGCGCTACTTTCAGAACTACTGGCTAAAAGTATACAAAAGTACCAGAGAATCTCTTAACTTAAAAAAAAAAAATGTGTGTCCCAATAGAGAATACAGCTATGATACAGATTTAACTAATGCAAATAGCTAATTCAAAAAGAAACAATAGCAATCTTCCAATATTGTATATTAGTTACATTTTCACTAAATTCTATGATGTTGAAGATATTTTACAAAAATATCCAACTTTAATTTTTTATTTTTTTTTAAATAAATCTTAGTCTATTTAGGATATGCCAATGAAAGCTGCAGTCTAAACATGCAGGACACATACTGTAGTACGTAGTCCAAAGGTCTAATCCAAACCGCTTTCAGAACTCAAGTGGGTTTCACTAAAAGGCTTTAAAATGTGTGGTGTAGATAGGTGACTTTAAGGCAAGGACAAACTCAGAAGTCAAAACGACTTGGGATAGATCTACGTGGTAAGATTGTTGCCCTGACAACCCAGCCTCTGCAGCAAGCTCAATGAGGGGGATCCAAGAGGACGCTTGGATGGGTGACTGGCCGGCTGCAGCGCTGAATAGGGCGACGGTAAGTCATCAACTCATCTCAGCTCTTGTATCCCTTCCACGCTGTCATCTTGTCAATGAGACACTCATTTGAAAACCTTATTGTGCATAGTTAGAAGCCTCTGTCAGCGATGATGATATGGTGTGCATAGCGATCCATATGCTACCATAGGTTAGGGTTTTCCATGTTGATGAAGCCGGGGGATTTGCGAAGCTCCCAGTAGGTGTTGTTAGTTACCCAGCGCTCCCTTTGATTGGCATCAACCACTTTCCTGGGACAAAAGAGACGGGCAATCAATGGTAGGGAGTTAAATGTCATGAATGGAATGGATAATCATTAGTGACACAACTCAGCCACACAAGTAACAGATGAAAAGTCAGAGGTATTTCTATCCATCTTGGGGAGACCTTCCCAACCTACCCCATTTGCCCCACTAAGCTGGCCTAAGGGAGACCTTCCCAACCTACCCCCTGTTTCCCCCACTAAGCTGGCCTGGGGAATACAGTATGTCCTGGTAAATGACCCTCATTCCTCACTTGAAGAAGCGTGGCTCGTGCTTGATGCCGTTCTCCTCTTGCCACTTCCTCCTGGTGCGCTGCAGGTCCTCGATACGCTGCTTCTCTGAGGCCGCCATTTCCACGTTCCCCTCCTCCAGGTGTCTAATGTAGAGAAACAACATCACTATGACTCAAATACCGCTTCCTTCCTCCAGGTGTCTAATGTGGAGAAACAACACTATGACTCAAATACCGCTCCCTTCCTCCAGGTGTCTAATGTGGAGAAACATCACTATGACTCAAATACCGCTTCCTTCCTCCAGGTGTCTAATGTAGAGAAACAACATCACTAGGAGTCAAATACCGCTCCCTTCCTCCAGGTGTCTAATGTAGAGAAACAACATCACTATGACTCAAATACCGCTCCCTTCCTCCAGGTGTCTAATGTAGAGAAACATCACTATGACTCAAATACCGCTCCCTTCCTCCAGGTGTCTAATGTAGAGAAACAACATCACTATGACTCAAATACCGCTCCCTTCCTCCAGGTGTCTAATGTAGAGAAACAACATCACTATGACTCAAATACCGCTTCCTTCCTCCAGGTGTCTAATGTGGAGAAACATCACTATGACTCAAATACCGCTCCCTTCCTCCAGGTGTCTAATGTAGAGAAACAACATCACTATGACTCAAATACCGCTCCCTTCCTCCAGGTGTCTAATGTAGAGAAACAACATCACTATGACTCAAATACCGCTTCCTTCCTCCAGGTGTCTAATGTGGAGAAACATCACTAGGAGTCAAATACCGCTCCCTTCCTCCAGGTGTCTAATGTGGAGAAACAACATCACTAGGAGTCAAATACCGCTCCCTTCCTCCAGGTGTCTAATGTGGAGAAACATCACTATGACTCAAATACCGCTCCCTTCCTCCAGGTGTCTAATGTAGAGAAACAACATCACTATGACTCAAATACCGCTCCCTTCCTCCAGGTGTCTAATGTAGAGAAACAACATCACTATGACTCAAATACCGCTCCCTTCCTCCAGGTGTCTAATGTAGAGAAACAACATCACTATGACTCAAATACCGCTCCCTTCCTCCAGGTGTCTAATGTAGAGAAACAACATCACTATGACTCAAATACCGCTTCCTTCCTCCAGGTGTCTAATGTGGAGAAACATCACTATGACTCAAATACCGCTCCCTTCCTCCAGGTGTCTAATGAAGAGAAACATCACTATGACTCAAATACCGCTCCCTTCCTCCAGGTGTCTAATGTGAGAACATCCTATGACTCAATACCGCTCCCTTCCTAGTGTCTAATGTAGAGAAAACATCACTATGACTCAAATACCGCTCCCTTCCTCCAGGTGTCTAATGTAGGAGAAACATCACTATGACACAAATACCGCTCCCTTCCTCCAGGTGTCTAATGTGGAGAAACATCACTATGACTCAAATACGCTCCCTTCCTCCAGGTGTCTATGTGGAGAAACTCACTATGACTCAAATACCGCTCCCTTCCTCCAGGTGTCAAATGTGGAGAAACAAATCACTATGACTCAAATACCGCCCCCTTTCCCTCCAGGTGTCTAATGTAGAGAAACAACATCACTATGACTCAAAAAACCGTTCCTTCCTCCAGGTGTCAATTTTAGAGAACACATCCTAGACCAAATACCGCTCCCTTCCTCCGGGTGTCTAATGTGGAGAAACATCACTAGGAGTCAAATACCGCTCCCTTCCTCCGGGTGTCTAAGTGGAGAAACAACTCACTAGGAGTCAAATACCGCTCCCTTCCTCCAGGTGTCTAATGTGGAAAACACTCACTATGACTCAAATACCGCTCCCTCCCCCAGGGCTAGTGGAAACAACCCCACTATGACTCAAACCGCTCCCTCTCCAGGGTCAAAGTGAGAAAAAACCCTCCTATGACCCCAATACCGCCCCTTCCTCCAGGTGTCTAAGTAGAGAAAAACATCACTATGACTCAAAACCGCTTCCTTCCTCCAGTGTCTAATGGGAGAAACACCTCACTGGAGTCAATACCTCCTCCTCCGGTGTCTAATGGAGAAACAACATCCGGAGCCCAACTCCCCGCTCCTCCTCCAGGGTCTATGTGGAGAAACTCACATGACTCAAATACCCCCCTCCCTTCCTCCAGTGTCTAATGTGGAAACATCCTATGACCAATACCGCTCCCTTCCCAGGGTTAGTGGCGAACTCATATGACACAAATACCGCTCCCCTTCCTCCAGGTCAAGTGGGAAACATCACTGACCCCAATACCTCCCTCCTCCAGGTTCAAATGGGAGAACTCACTTGCCAAATACCGCCCCCCTTTCCCTCCAGGTCTATGGGAGAAACCCACTTGACTCAAATACCGCTCCTTCCTCAGGTGTCTAATGTGGAAAAACACTCACTAGAGCACATACCGCCCCTTCCTCCAGGTGTCTATGTGAAAACATCACTATGCCAAATCCGCCCCTCCTCCAGGGTCATGTAGGAAACAACACTGGAGCAATACCCCCCTCCCCCAGGTGTTAAGTGGAGAAACCATCACTGACCAAATACCGTCCCTTCCTCCAGGGTCATGTAGAGAAACATCACGAGTAAAATACCGCTCCCTTCCCAGGTGTCTAATGTGGAAAACAAACATCACTAGGAGTCAAATACCGCTCCCTTCCTCCAGGTGTCTAATGTGGAGAAACATCACTATGACTCAAATACCGCTCCCCTCCTCCAGGTGTCTAATGTAGAGAAACAACATCACTATGAGTCAAATACCGCTCCCTTCCTCCAGGTGTCTAATGTAGAGAAACAACATCACTATGACTCAAATACCGCTCCCTTCCTCCAGGTGTCTAATGTAGAGAAACATCACTAGGAGTCAAATACCGCTCCCTTCCTCCAGGTGTCTAATGTAGAGAAACAACATCACTATGAGTCAAATACCGCTCCCTTCCTCCAGGTTGTCTAATGTAGAGAAACATCACTATGAGTCAAATACCGCTCCCTTCCTCCAGGTTGTCTAATGTAGAGAAACATCCACTAGGAGTCAAATACCGCTCCCTTCCTCCAGGTTGTCTAATGTAGAGAAACAACATCACTATGAGTCAAATACCGCTCCCTTCCTCCAGGTGTCTAATGTAGAGAAACAACATCACTATGAGTCAAATACCGCTTCCTTCCTCCAGGTGTCTAATGTGGAGAAACAACATCACTATGAGTCAAATACCGCTTCCTTCCTCCAGGTGTCTAATGTAGAGAAACAACATCACTATGAGTCAAATACCGCTCCCTTCCTCCAGGTGTCTAATGAAGAGAAACATCACTATGACTCAAATACCGCTCCCTTCCTCCAGGTGACTAATGAAGAGAAACATCACTATGAGTCAAATACCGCTCCCTTCCTCCAGGTGTCTAATGAAGAGAAACAACATCACTATGAGTCAAATACCGTTCCCTTCCTCCAGGTGTCTAATGTAGAGAAACAACATCACTATGACTCAAATTACCGCCTTCCTTCCTCCAGGTGTCTAATGTGGAGAAACATCACTATGAGTCAAATACCGCTCCCTTCCTCCAGGTGTCTAATGAAGAGAAACATCACTATGAGTCAAATACCGTTCCCTTCCTCCAGGTGTCTAATGTAGAGAAACAACATCACTATGACTCAAATACCGCTCCCTTCCTCCAGGTGTCTAATGAAGAGAAACAACATCACTATGAGTCAAATACCGCTTCCTTCCTCCAGGTGTCTAATGTAGAGAAACAACATCACTATGACTCAAATACCGTTCCCTTCCTCCAGGTGTCTAATGTGGAGAAACAACATCACTATGACTCAAATACCGCTTCCTTCCTCCAGGTGTCTAATGTGGAGAAACATCACTAGGAGTCAAATACCGCTTCCTTCCTCCAGGTGTCTAATGTGGAGAAACAACATCACTATGACTCAAATACCGCTCCCTTCCTCCAGGTGTCTAATGTAGAGAAACATCACTAGGAGTCAAATACCGCTCCCTTCCTCCAGGTGTCTAATGTGGAGAAACAACATCACTATGACTCAAATACCGCTCCCTTCCTCCAGGTGTCTAATGTAGAGAAACAACATCACTAGGAGTCAAATACCGCTCCCTTCCTCCAGGTGTCTAATGTAGAGAAACATCACTATGACTCAAATACCGCTCCCTTCCTCCAGGTGTCTAATGTAGAGAAACAACATCACTAGGAGTCAAATACCGCTCCCTTCCTCCAGGTGTCTAATGTAGAGAAACAACATCACTATGACTCAAATACCGCTTCCTTCCTCCAGGTGTCTAATGTAGAGAAACATCACTAGGAGTCAAATACCGCTCCCTTCCTCCAGGTGTCTAATGTGGAGAAACATCACTAGGAGTCAAATACCGCTCCCTTCCTCCAGGTGTCTAATGTGGAGAAACATCACTAGGAGTCAAATACCGCTTCCTTCCTCCAGGTGTCTAATGTGGAGAAACATCACTAGGAGTCAAATACCGCTCCCTTCCTCCAGGTGTCTAATGTGGAGAAACATCACTAGGAGTCAAATACCGCTCCCTTCCTCCAGGTGTCTAATGTAGAGAAACATCACTAGGAGTCAAATACCGCTCCCTTCCTCCAGGTGTCTAATGTGGAGAAACATCACTAGGAGTCAAATATACTGTCAAATGTCACTCAGCAGGGAAATGCACATAAAGCTTGTAAACATATTTACCCATACAAATAATATCTCGTCATCTTATTTCAGATGTGCCAAAACGAGCTTTTAGCCCTTTTTAGAGCTTCACTAATCAACCAATCTATAAGTCTATATTAGACTACAACAACAGCTGCATTGTGCTGGTTGGCATTTATTGTCATGAATCTTGCCCTGGAGGCAACTCTGCAGAGTGGTCACTAGTTGGCATGGCCACAGTCATAAAATCTGATTTTAAACCTAACATTAACCACACTGCTAACCCTAATGTCTAACCCTAACTTTAAATTAAGAACAAAAAAAAAACACATTTATGTTTTCATGAATTTTTACGATATAGTCAATTTTGACTTGGCAGCTGGTTCGTCTAGCAGAAATCGCTCAGTTCTGCCTCCAGGGCAAGATTCGTGACAATAAAGGTCAACCTAGGTGCTAGTTCAGTGGTTCATCCAGTCAGATCTGTCTGATAATGCTACTTGTGGCAGTAGAAGCAGACAGTGCATTACCGTCTGGGCACAGTAGCTGAAAGTGTGATGGCGCAACGGCTGTCTGTCTCTACCTTTGATCGGGTCTGAAGCGGGCATCTGTGGGCGGTAGCAGGTCTTGCATCTCAGGGCAAAGCTCATTGAGCTCAATGGCAAACCTGGTAAAGCCATAATACAGCTCGTAGTCTGTGGGCATGGAGCCTGAGGAAGGGACACATGACATCACACGGATCAAGAATCAGTTCAAAGTCATTTTTTTCCCCCATTGTGTGGATTATTGACACCGGTGTCAACACTTTCTTTGTTCCCGTATTATAATCTTTATAAACTAGTATTTTATCGTCTAATCTAATGCTGTTATCTGCTTAACGAAAGCGGATATCCAATTAAAAATATTCAAAGCGTTCTGCATAGCAACAGTATGACTGACGTAGTTACTTTCGTCAACAGTAACTATGACGAAAAATACTTGTCAACTACCTATTTTCCCTGACTAAAACTATGACGATAACGAGACGCCCTGGAAACAAACCATAACTATTACAAATGACTTTTCATTTTAGTCAACGAAAATGTGACGAGAATTCCACGTGAGACTAATGGACATTTCATTTAACGTTAAGCTCCTTTTCACCTGTTCTGTCCAATCATAATGCAAAAATATTTCACGCAATCCTTTCATCTTTTGAACTGATGTGAAGCCAGGACACTTCACTTGTAACGAACCTCAACTAGAAACAATAATGTTTACTCTCTTACTTTCATGTAGGCTATTTTTGCTTTGATTAGGGACAGATCGAAATGTACTGGGGGGGGGGGGGGGCTGGTCCAACACAGGGTGTCATAAACCAAAAATGCACCCCCCTCCCCAACGTAATTTTTTTTTCACATGACCCTTCCCTCAGCCAGTCAAATAAATGGAACACCCTTCCCCCTCTTAGAATTAACTCCAAATAATGTTTAAGACCCCAAATAACAATAACTGTAGCGACCCTGTGTTTATTAATGCGGGTATCGACTTTGTCACTTCGGCATGCTTTTGTGACACAGTCGACGCCACGCAGGGCTACGGGCCAGAAGGTTGGGGGTTCGCTGACCACCACAGACGAGCTCACTCTCCCTGCCTGGTTCATTACACAAATGATCAGAGTCGGCTGCAGACAATGATCAGCTAGGAGGAAATCAGATTTTCAACATTTTGAATTATAATTATATAAAATATATGCAACAAATTTTCCACCAACAGGTTTCTGTGCCAATGGACCACACAACCAATAATCAATACCGACTTTGGGCGCTTTAATATCATGGTTTGTGTTTACAACACCACAATAAACAGACTATGACAATCAGAACATGCATCCCTCTCTACCATGTAGGCCTACCCAGTATCGAAGGCTCGGCTTGACAATCTCTGAATGTCATTACACTTTTTGTTGTTTTGCAATAGATGTCTCCTTCCATTCACCAAATGTCCGCTGCACAATTTGGATTGATTGATTTTATTTGTCAGTGAAAAAAAAATACATATATACACACAAAGATTTTTAAAGGTGACCAGGATTGCACAATAAGGTCGGGGACTTATTTGCATTGTGGTCCTTATTTTTATTTTTTTGATAAATACATAAACAATGACAGAGATAAAGACACAGTACAGAGATGCTCAACCTCCAGATGAGTCTGAGGGGGGAGTTTAAGTACAATTCATACAAGCTTCTTTGGCTGGTATCTTTATTCTTCAGATGTTTGGGGGCTGCTGGTGAACCATGATGTGTAGGGATAATCAACGTGACACTGGACTAGAGCACTTGCAAAACAAAATGCCATTTCAGAGACAACATGACAGGGAAGATTGACAGGGAAGATTTTAAATTTACCGGACATTTGAGAAATTTACCGGACATCCATATGCATTCAGATCCGAATTGGCGCAGCCAGTACCATCAATAAACGAGGAATGTTGGCCAAATGAGCCACATTGACATCCTATCACAGATTACAAAAACACTATTCCTTGGGTTTCAATGTGTAGCATAGGCAAAACCTTGTAGCCTATTTTTTTAAATTAGTTTTTAGGCTACTTTCCTAAAACAATAATTGTCCACCTCACGGTTCAGCTGTCAGAGATTTGAGCATTACATGTATAGGCCTATATGCTTAGGTGTCCACTGTAGGATATTACCATTTTAATAAATATGTATAGCCTATATAAAGGAAGAGAAGCTTAACCCAATTCCCTCTCCTACCCCGGACGACGCTGGGCCAATTGTGCGCCGCCCCATGGGTCTCCCGGTCATGGCCGGCTACGACAGAGCCTGGATTCGAACCAGGATCTCTAGTGGCACAGCTAGAGATATGCCGGTGGCATGCTACGACACCGACACGCATTTATTTATGTCAGATGGCTACTGCGTCTGCTATACATATATAGTGTGTGCTGTTAGTCAGTTATCAGTGTTGCTGCTCTCGCGCCGTGGTCCGCAAATGCAAGTTGCGGATGCTTTTTTCCTATTTGTTGAATATAAGGAGTACAGTAATACTTTTTTTTTTGGAAAGCACATTCTCCCCTTTATTAAGGAAACCACTGTTATTTGCCCCCCTGATTGTTATGATGGGGAGAAAAATCTGCTGTAAATTGTTTAACCTGTAGACCAAGACTTTACAGCCAATATGGCTGGCATTGGTTACAATCTGCCACAATATCAAATCAAAATCACATTTTATTTGTCACATGCGCCGAATACAACAGGTGTAGACCTTACCGTGAAATGTTTACTTACGAGCCCTTAACCAACAAAGCAGTTCAAAAAATAGAGTTGAGAAAATATTTACTAAATAAACTAAAGTAAAACATTGAATAAAAAAGTAACACAATAAAATAACAATAATGAGGCTATATCCAGGGGGTACCGGTACCGAGTCAATGTGCGGAGGTACAGGTTAGTCGAGGTAATTTGTACATGTAGGTAAAGTGACTACTGTTGTCCGTTAAGGTATATGAGGGGACAGTAGTTCTAGCTGGCCAAGGCTTTCTGAACGTTCACATCATGGAAGTTAGGGGATATCCTAAATATTCATTCATTCATTTAATAAAATGCACTGACTATTATGTGACTAAAATGTCTGTGACTAAAACTACACTAAAATAGTCCAGAGTTTTAGTCGACTGATAATAACTAAAACTAACGAAGGATGAAATGATTCAAATGTGACCAAAGACCTAAAAGGTATTTTAAGACTAAAACTAAGATTAAATCTAAAATAGCTGCCAAAATGAACACTGGTAGTTACCTGGCCTCCAGATGCATCTGGCAGAGGGCGGGACTCCACAGTAAAGGCCCTCGTGCCATTTGCCGAACAGCCGACGCACTACCTTCCCCTCTTGGTCCATCACAAACCCTTGAACCTCATTCACATTAGAACTCCAGTAATTTCCCTACAAGCAAAATGAGACAACAGTAATATTTTGATCATAAAGATAAAAAGCATTCATCATCCACTTGCGAAGGAATCAAAATAGACAATCATTTCCAAATTGCAGAGGCAGCCAAGTTAAGTGATACATGCTTTCTCAGGGGATGGTTCTTTCTCAGCACTGTAATTGTCTTTGGACTTCATAGTCATTTTACTGGACATACCCACAGCTGAGTTGACCGACGTCTTACCTTGACGAAGGTGAGTTTGCAGATACATGCACTGCTTTTGGTGTTCCTAATGGTGATCTCTCCGTAGTGTTCGATCCACCTTCTCCCGCTTAGGATGTTGTGCACGCAGGTGGTGACTTTGTTCCATTCATAGTGGTCACCGAAGCTGAATGACACAATATGGCAGCAGTCAGGATATCTACAGTAAATCACAGAAGTCTGTCTGTTTCTTTAAGATGCTTACTGGGCCACATAATCACACAGAGCGTTAGACGTCTCAAACTAAATAGCAGGGCCTGTGCAATCTCATTTTCTGAGGCAGAGACACTTGCGATGTCCTTTAATCCATGTGCTTTTATTCAGAAGCCTTCACACACACACACACACACACACACACACACACACACACACACACACACACACACACACACACACACACACACACACCTTCCTGCTCTTCTGTCTGAGTGATTCATCTCTCACAGCTCCCCCCTCCCTAACCCTGTCTAGGGCACTTTAATAGGGCGTATGGTAGCTCCTTAAAGCTTCCAGGGACCCAGAGTGGAGAGATGGCTGTGGCAGGGGGAGGCTAGCAGGGACCTGAATGCTTCAAGAAGGTAAGGCCACTGTTATGGAGGTACCTCCTTTAGTGAGTGACAGTGGGGATATGTCTAGAGCAGGGGTGTCAAACTCATTTTAGCTCAGGGGCCACATGGAGGAAAATCTATTCCCAAGTGGGCCGGACCGGTAAAATCATGGTATATATAACTTAAAAACAACAACTTCAGATTGTTTTCTTTGTTTTAATACTATCAACATAAAACATAAAGCTGGAGCCTGAGGACAGTGTGTCCAAAATAGTACAAGCACAACATCACTATTAATCATAAAACACCTCAAGTTTATTTGAAAATTCTAAAGAAAAAGAACACACAAACACACAATGCCTCAGTGATTCACAGAACTGTTTCACAGATCACAGAACTATATCAGGGTGTCATTTCTCAGGCAGAAATGTAGATACAAATAATGAAATCCTGTTCCCCAAACAAGTGCAAGAACCACAGAGTCAATAATAGGTTAAATATACAACTAAAATAAAATCAATTAAAAACAATAGCACATCAACATAAAAACATATAAACATAAAGCTGGAGCCTGAGGACAGTGTGTCCAAAAGCACAATATCACTATTAATCATAAAACACCTCAAGTTATTTGAAATTCTGAGGACAAACAACACACAAACACACAATGCCTCAGTGATTCACAGAAGTATATCACAGATCACAGAACTATATCAGGGTGTCTCATGCAGCACTTTAAGTGGGGTTGCATAGTTTATTTGACTCCTGATACCTGGCAACTTTTAGCTTTCACCAGAGCATCAATATCAGGCGTCACATCCTGAGTGGCAGCCAACTTCAGGATGTGATTCAAGTGCTTGTGCGTGAGCCTTGAGCGCAGCTTTGTTTTATTTATGCTCATTACAGAGAACTTGCTCACAAAGATATGTGGTTCCAAACATGCACAACAATTTTGCAGCGAGGGCTGTCAAGTTGGGGTAACCTGGCAAGAGATTCTGATAAAATGTGTCCAAGCCAGCTGCGGCAAATTTGCCCTTAAAATCCGAGGGATTCACGGTGAATGGCGAACAAAAAACTTTGAAGTCTTTCTCCAGTTCACCAAAAATCTGAAAGCGTTGCTCAAACTCCCTTAACAGTCCCGTTATTTTATATTTGAACCGCTTCATGTCTGCCACATGTTGGGTCGCGCACACATTTTTCAGACAGGGGAAGTGAGCTGCATCACCACCGGCGAGTTGCGTCTCCCACAATGACAGCTTCAACTTGAAAGAACGTATGCTGTCATAATACTGCGTGACAACTTTGTTGCGCCCTTGCAGCTGTTTGTTCAAGTTATTCAGGTGCTCTGTAACATCCACCATAAATGCAAGGTCCTGCATCCATTCTGCGGAATTAAATTCTAACACTGGTTTGCCCTTTTCTTCCATGAACTGTTCAATTTCTTCTCGTAAATCAAAGAAACGCCTCAGCACAGCACCTCGGCTTAACCATCTTACCTCAGTGTGGTATGGCAGGCCATAGATGTGGTCTTTCTCTCTGAGAAGGCTGTCAAACTGACGGTGATTCAGGCTTCTGGATCGGATGAAATTAACAGTTTGGATGACCACCTTCATGACGTTATCCATCTTTAATGACTTGCAACACAAAGCCTCCTGGTGCAAAATACAGTGAAAAGTCCAAAAATCACGTCCTCCATTTGCAGATTGCACTTTCTCTCTGAACTTTGTCACAACGCCTGCTTTTTTCCCGATCATTGAGGGCGCACCATCTGTAGCCAGGCTGACAGCGCGGGACCAATCCACTCCGACCCTGTCCAGCGCGCCGACGAGTGCAGTGAAAATATCAGCTGCTGTCGTTGTATCTGTCATCGGCACCAACTCCACGAACTCCTCGGTGACGGTCAATGTGTCATCAACTCCGCGGATGAAAATGGCCAGTTGTGCAACATCTGTAATGTCCGTGCTTTCATCAATTGCAACCGAAAACGCAATAAATGACTTTACTTTTTGCTTCAACTGGCTGTCCAAATCCACTGAAAGATCGGAAATCCTGTCTGCAACTGTGTTTCTTGTCAGGCTGATATTTGCAAAAGCCTGGTGCTTTTCAGGGCACACAATCTCCGCTGCCTTCATCATGCATGTTTTTACAAATTCACCCCTACTAAATGGTTTTGAAGCCACTGCGATTTCATTAGCAATGAGGTAGCTAGCTTTCACTGCAGCGTCACTGATGTCTCGGCTGTGAGTAAACACAGACTGCAGTTTCTTCAGACCCGCCAACAGTTCATTCACCTTCTCTCATCTCCGCTGTCCTTGAAAGTTGTCATATTTGTCGGCATGAAGACTCACATAGTGGCGACGAAGGTTATATTCTTTCAGCACTGCAACATGCTGTGAACACACCAAACATACAGCTTTCCCATTCAATTCCGTGAATAAATAGAAGGATGACAATTTTTCTTGGAACACTCTGCGTCCACTTTTCTCTTTTTTGACAGAGACATATTGGGGCAATGAGGGTGCCAAAGCACATAATGTTAAAAGTAGAAGCCGTAATAAATATCGCGGGTAAAACAAAGTAGCTCATCCGGACTGGCTGCACTTGCTTGACCTATTTGCTCTGCCCCGGTATAAACAGTTTGCTTGCTTAACACAATTGCTATTGCGCCATCCAGTGGACACAATTGGAACAGCAGTTTCTTTTATTGAAAAATTGCAGCTCATTTTTATACTTTACAAAATCATCTCGCGGGCCGGATTAAACCCGTTTGCGGGCCTGATCCGGCCCGTGGGCCGGACGTTTGACACCCCTGGTCTAGAGGATGTCAGACTGTGTGTGTGTGTGTGTGGGTGTGGGTGTGTGTGTGTGTGTGTTTGTGTGTGTGTGTGTGTGTGTGTGTGTGTGTGTGTGTGTGTGTGGCTGAATGAAAAGGCCACAGCTTGATTACCCTGGAAGCATAACATTGACGGTGCCAATCGGGAGGATTTCCATGGACTTCCCCCAGAATTTGTTTTTCCATCTGACATCTGAGAAGAAAATGGGCAGAATTAGCCGTCAGTGTACCATCTTGATGCAACATGAAAATCATGACCTCATTGAGGAAGTGCACAACGTGTGACACTGTAATTCAACTGGTAACGTACCTTGCAAGAAGGTGAACTTGTTGGAATCAGCGTGACAAGCTGATATGGGTGGATGGTGGCTCACCTTCAAGAGATAATCAAACGTCATACGTCTTATCAGTGACAATACTGCTAGATTATTGCCTCTTTGAGGAATTCATTTTAGGTCCAGATACAAAAACAACCACTTCATTATATAACCATTCTAAATGTGATGTGAGAAGAAGAGGGTGAGTCATTATATCGTGACTATCATGCGGACTGGGCAACCGGTAACAGCTGACACCAGCACTTAGGCTAAGTGCAGACTAGGTTCAGTCATGCCAGTCATTCAGGTTCAGTCAGTCCGGTTCAGTCATTCAGGTTCAGTAAGTCCGGTTCAGTCATTCAGGTTCAGTAAGTCCGGTTCATTCAGTCAGGTTCAGTCATTCAGGTTCAGTCACACCCAGTCAGTCAGTCAGCCCCAGTCAGTCAGTCAGCCCCAGTCAGTCAGGTTCAGTCAGTCAGTCAGTCAGGTTCAGTCAGTCAGTCAGGTTCAGTCAGTCAGTCAGCCCCAGTCAGTCAGCCCCAGTCAGTCAGGTTCAGTCAGTCAGTCAGCCCCAGTCAGTCAGGTTCAGTCAGTCAGTCAGGTTCAGTCAGTCAGTCAGATTCAGGCAGGTTCAGTCAGGCCAGGGAAGATAGCTGAGAGATGACAACAACAGGGTCCCCATCATAAAGAGAGAAAAGAGGGTAGAAAGACAGCCTTCAAAGGCCCTGGCCCTCCTCTACCAACAGACTGGGACCCTGGCCCTCCTCTACCAACAGACTGGGACCCTGGCCCTCCTCTACCAGCAGACTGGGACCCTGGCCCTCCTCTACCAACAGACTGGGACCCTGGCCCTCCTCTACCAGCAGACTGGGACCCTGGCCCTCCTCTACCAGCAGACTGGGACCCTGGCCCTCCTCTACCAACAGACTGGGACCCTGGCCCTCCTCTACCAACAGACTGGGACCCTGGCCCTCCTCTACCAACAGACTGGGACCCTGGCCCTCCTCTACCAACAGACTGGGACCCTGGCCCTCCTCTACCAGCAGACTGGGACCCTGGCCCTCCTCTACCAACAGACTGGGACCCTGGCCCTCCTCTACCAGCAGACTGGGACCCTGGCCCTCCTCTACCAGCAGACTGGGACCCTGGCCCCTCCACTACCACATACTGGGACCCCTTGCCCTCCCTACCAGCAGACTGGGACTCCTGCCCTCCTCCTACCACATACTGGGAAACCCTGGCCCTCCACTACCAACGACTGGGACTCCTGGCCCTCCTCTACCACAGACTTGGGACCCTTCCCTAACTATACCACAACTGTGACCCTGGCCCTCCACTACCAGCAGACGGGACGCCTGGCCCTCAGAGCACTACCACAGCACTGGGACCTGGCCCTCCTCTAACCATGCCACTGGGACCCTGTCCCTCCACTACTACAGACTGGACCCTGGCCCTCCTCTACCTACCAGCCGACTGGACCCGGCCCTCCTCTACCACAGACTGGACCCTGGCCCTCCTCTACCAGCAGACTGGGACCCTGGCCCCTCCTCTAACAACAGACGGGGACCCTGCCCTCCTCTAACCAGCAGACTGGGACCCTGGCCCTCCCTACCAGCAGACTGGGACCCTGGCCCCTCCTCTACCAACATACGGGACCCTGGTCCCTCCTCGCCAGCAGACTGGGACCCTGGCCTCCGCTCCTTCTACCAGCAGAACGGGACCCCTGGCCCTCCTCTACCACCAGACTGGGACCTGGCCCTCCTCTACCAACAGACTGGACCCTGGCCCTCCTCTACCACGACTTGGACCCGGCCCTCCTCGAACTGCAGACTGGGCCCGGGCCCTCCACTAAAACCAGCAGACTGGGACCCTGGCCCTCCCTCTACCACAGACTGGGCCCTGGCCCTCCACTACCAACAGACTGGGCACCCTGGCCCTCTCTACCAGCAGACTGGACCCTGGCCCTCCTCTACGCAGCAGACTGGGACCCCTGGCCCTCCTCTCCCAGCAGACTGGGACCCTGCCTCCACTACCAGCAGACTGGTAACCCTGGCCCTCCAACTACCCCAACTGGGACCCTGGCCCTCCTCTACCAGCAGACTGGACCCCTGGCCCTCCACTACTAGCAGACTGGGACCCCTGGCCCTCCTCTACCTCAGACTGGTACCTGGCCCTCCTCGACCATCAGACTGGGGGGGGGGGAAAAAAAAACCCCCCCCTGGCCCTCCTCTACCAGCAGACTGGCCCCTGGCCTCCACTAAACTATCAGACTGGGGGACCCTGCCCCTCCTCTACCAACAACTGGGCCCTGGCCCTCCTCACCCGCAGACTGGGACCCTGGCCCTCCTCTACCCGCAGCTGGACCCTGGCCCTCCCTCTATAACCAGCCGACTGGACCCTGGCCCTCCACTACCAGCAGACTGGGACCCTGGCCCTCCACTACCAACAGACGGGACCCTGGCCCTCCTCTACCAGCGACCTGGGACCCTGGCCTCCCTACTAGCAGACTGGGACCCTGGCCCTCCTCATACCAGCGACTGGTACCCTGGCCCTCCTCTACCAGCATATGGGACCCTGGCCCGTCCTCTACCAGGCAGACTGGGACCCTGGCCTCCTCTACCAGCATGACTGGGAACCCTGGCCCGCCGCTACCACAGACTGGGAGACCCTGGCCCCTCTACCATCAGCCTGGGAGACCCCTGGCCCTCCATCGCCAGCAGACTGGGACCCTGGCCCCTCCTCACCACAGACGGACCCCTGGCCCTCCTCTAACCAACAGACCTGGACCCTGCCCTCCTCTACCAGCAACTGGACCCTGCCCTCCTCTACAAGCAGACTGGACCCTGCCCACTCTACCAGCAAGACTGGGACCCTGGCCCTCCTCTAACCAGCAGACTGGACCCTGGCCCTCCCTCTACCAACGACTGGGACCCTGGCCCTCCTCCTACCATCAAACTGGGACCCTGGCCTCCTCTACCAACATACTGGGACCCTGGCCCTCCTCTCCCCAGCATACTGTGTCCTGGCCCTACTCTACTCTAACCAGCAGCTGGGACCCTGGCCCTCCTCTCACCAACAGACTGGACCCTGGCCCTCCTCTACAGCATACTGGGACCCGGCCCCCTCTACCAGCAGACTGGGACCCTGGCCTCCTCTACCACAGACGGGGACCTGGCCCTCCTCTACTCAGCAGACTGGGATCCTTGCCCTCCCTCTACCAGCATACTGGGACCCCCTGGCCCTCTCCTCTACCAGCAGACTGGGACCCTCCCTGGCCCTCCTCTACCAACAACTGGGACCCGGCCCTCCTTTCTACACAGACTGGGGACCCTGGCCCTCTTCTACCAGCAGACTGGGACCCCTGGCCCATCCTCTACCAGCAGACTGGGACCTGGCCCTCCACTACTAGAGACTGGGGACCCCTGGCCCTCCTCTAACCAGCAGACTGGACCCTGGCCCTCCACCCCCCTCTACCAGACCACTGGCGACCCTGGCCCCTCCACTACTAGCAACTGGGACCCTGGCGCCCTCCTCTAACACCACAGACTGGACCCTGGCCCTCCTCTACCAACAGACTGGGGACCCTGGCCCTCCACTACCAACAGACTTGGGACCCTTGCCCTCCGCTACCACAAGACTGGGACCCTGGCCCTCCTCTACCAGCCATGGACCCTGGCCCTCCTCTACCATCAGACTGTGACCCTGGCCCGCCTCTACCAACCCTACTGGGACCCTGGCCCTCTCTAACCAGCAGACTGGGACCCTGGCCCCCTCTACCAGCAGACTGGGACCCTGGCCCCTCCTCCTACCAGCAGGACTGGACCCTGGCCCTACTCTACCACATGACTGGGACCCTGGCCATCCTCTGCCAGCAGACTGGACCCTGGCCCTCCTCTACCACCAACGGGGACCCTGGCCCCTCCTCTACCAGCAACTGGGAACCCTGCCTCCTCTACCAACATACTGGGACCCGGGCCCTCTCACCACAGACTGGACCGCCCCTCCTTCTACCAACGACTGGGACCCTGGCCCTTCCTCTACCAGCGACTGGGACCCTGGCCTCACTACCAACGACTGGACCCTGTCCCTCTCTACCCAGACTGTGACCCTGGCCCTCCTCTACCAGCAGACTGGACCCTGCCCTCCCTTATACCACCAGACGGACGCCTGGCCCGCCACTACGCAGCAGACTGGTGACCCCACTGGCCCTCCTCTCCAGAAGACTGGAACCCTGGCCCTCCACTACCAACAGAACTGGACCCTGGTCCCTCCACTACAAGCGACTGGGAACCCTGGCCCTATCTACCAGCCAACTGGAACCCTGGCCCTCCACTACCAACAGACTGGGACCCTGGCCCTCCTCGATACCAGCAGGACGGGACCCTGGCCCTACAACTACCAACAGACGGGACCCTGGCCTAACACTACCAGCAGACCTGGGACCCTGGCCCTACACTACCAGCAGACTGGGACCCTGGCCCTCCACTACTACAGACTGGGAACGCGCTGGCCCTCCTCTAACCAGCCGACTGGTGACCCCTTGGCCCTCCTCCTCTACCAGAGACTGGGACCCTGGCCCTCCTCTACCATCAGACTGGGACCCTGGCCTCCTCTACCAGCAGACTGGGCCCTGCCCTCCTCTACCACAGACTGGGACCCTGTCCCGCCTCCTCTACCAACTACTGGGACCCCTGGCCCTCCTCGTACAACAGACTGGGACCTCTGGCCCTCCTCTAACCAACAGACTGGACCCTGGCCCTCCTCTACCAACAGACTGGGACCCGGCCCTCCTCTAATACCACAGACTGGGACCCAAACTGGCCCTCCACTACCATCAGACTGGGACCCTGTCCCTTCCTCTACCAACAGACTGGGAACCCTGGCCCTCCTCTCCCAACAGAACTGGACCCTGGCCTCCTCTACCGAACAGCTGGGACCCTGGCCCTCCACTACCACCAGACTGGGACCCGGCCCTCCTCTACGCATCAGACTGGGACCCTGGCCCTCCTCTACCACAGTTGGGACCCTGCCCTCCCACTACAACAGACTGGGGACCCTGGCCCTCCTCTACAACATACTGG